CATGGCGACATATGACTCCACGTTGAAGTTGCTAGTCCTGAGACGGTATGTCTTCGAGGACTGTATGAGTGCAACTGATTGGCAATGACATTTGATGACAATATTGTTAAGTTATGACGGAAATTATCACAGAGCAGTCAATGTAGCTGTATGTTTCTACTTAAGACAAAAGCCAACGTTATTTAAAATTGTGAAAATTAAGTAAACTAATATAACAGTATCAACCATCAATGTTGTAGTTTTAAATTTAAGTAAATAAGATGATAAAAGGGAGTAAAAATTGTATGGTTGTAGTTAGGCAACCAACTATACATGTATGTAGCAATGTAATATAGAAATTTTTTTTTATATTATATGGCCCTTTATGTTTCTTAAACATTTGGTACCCAGAAAACTGGTTTTTTAAGAAACATAAAGGGCCATATAATATAAAAAAAAAAAATTCTATATTACATTGCTACATACATGTATAGTTGGTTGCCTAACTACAACCATACAATTTTTGCTCCCTTATATCATCTTATTTACTTAAATTTAAAACTACAACATTGATGGTTGATACTGTTATATTAGTTTACTTAATTTTCACAATTTTAAATAACGTTGGCTTTTGTCTTAAGTAGAAACATACAGCTACATTGACTGCTCTGTGATAATTTCCGTCATAACTTAACAATATTGTTATCAAATGTCATTGTCAATCAGTTGCACTCATACAGTCCTCGAAGACATACCGTCTCAGGACTAGCAACTTCAACGTGGAGTCATATGTCGCCATGTTACCGAATCCATCGGTAACTCTATAATCTTAAATTATTATAACATATTTTTAAAACTAAATGTAATCAAACATCTGTTAACGGGTTTTTACCCATATATTTAATCTTGGTGGCTACATTCATGTACTCCTAGTAAGTATTAACCACATTTTTCATTAACCTTAGTCAACATTTTAACCTATGTTCTTTTTAATTAAGTGGTTAACTATTTTCTAGGACACTGATGATGGAACATGGTTTCCGAAAACGATATGTCTTTTTAACTTAGCCCGTTTGGGCCTTAAATATATACCTATTACAAAGGATTTTTAATTAAATTTTTAATAAATAATATTTTTTGATAGTAGTGGGATATTTAGACTGGACGGTAATTCAGTTAGTTGTGGTTATCCTCCACCAATACTAACTATTCCAGTTATTGCTGCAGAATTGACGTTGAGGGATAGTTGTTTAAATTTTTCAGTTTCTACTTCATGTTTTATGCGACACATTGGGCAAAAGAGAGTAAATTTAGAATAACATCCTTTTCGCTTTTCACTAGTTACTGTAATATCTTCCGGAAGCAATTGAACAATCTGTGGTGAGGGAATTGCAGTATTTGCCTAATAAAATATTGCACATCTACAATTCTTCTTCCTTGTAATATGAAATCTGAAGTAGTTTGTCTAAAAGACATATATATTATTTATTTATGTTTAAAAGTTTACTGTACTTTTTACTGCTACTACATTTTATATTTGGTAAAAAAACTTACGTAGTAGCTGAATATTTTTTAATTATGTTCTCCTCCTTGCAAGGAAAAATCCAAGAACGCAGAAATCCAGGCCGTAGAAGAATGTCCTGGATGAGAAATTTAAGAGAGTGGTTTGGCTGTACCACTAACGAATTATTCAAAACAGCAGTAAATAAAATTAGAATCGCCATAATGATATCCAATCTCCGATAGGAGAGGCACTCAAAGAAGAAGATGTTCTCCTTGGCAAGTTCTTCGAAAATACGGGATTGACTGTTATAGAAAAATCGTATTCATTTCATGTTAAAAAAATTAAAAGTATGGCTTACTTAATAAATATCTCTGCTACTTTTGAGCCGCCACTCAAGAATATCGTGCTCGTCTATAATATTCCAAATTAAATAATTTTAAAAACAAATGAATGCATTACTTACTTAGTACCTACAGTTTCTTTATAGTGTATTAACATGTAAACCTTCTACTACAATGCTAGTAGTGATAACCACAAACATACAATCCACAAAAATCAAACAGATAGTTTATTCCTTTAAAGGAAAATAAAATGTAAAGAAAAAATTCTTGGTTTACTGATCGATTTTATAAATGACATTTTCACTATATATATTTACAAATCAGTTTTACAGAAAAATACAAAAGTAATTTAATTTATATAAAAAGTACTTTCAATTGAGCTAACCGTCTATTTCTTCGTTTTACACTAATACATTTCTTGTAACAACGTCCCATATTTGAATTTACGCAAATAAAGAAATAAATAAAGTCTTTATGAATTAATTGAGCAATACCTATACAACACAGCTTTTCACAGATATACATGTGCTAAGCCCATTCTGGATAAACAAGATACCTACCGTTTTAAAGCTTTCATACCAGTGAGAATTTAACTACACGTAATTTGCTTTGTGTAAAGAAAGATAAACTAGGGATAGGACAGTCGGTGCCGATTCGCTTCATCTAAAATTTGCGCCTACGCTCTTAAGTGATCTATTTTTGGCATGCATTTACACTTTATAGTCTTGAATGAAACAGGTTGAGGAGGGGAGAACTGTTTGTCTCAAGTTGGTCATTCAGAATTATATCTGTGTTTTTTAATTTGTTGATTTCCATAGATTCCAATAAAGATAGCTTAATGCCTTTATTTTGAATGTGAAGAATTTTAAATTCGTCATTAAAAGACTGATTATAATCTAGAAGTGCGTATGTAGAATCTGTTTTTCTATTATTGGAAGCAGTTTTATGTTCTGCTATTCGTTTATTAAAATTTCTACTAGTTTGACAGATGTAAGTTTTTGGCAGTCGCCACATTTAAGTTCGTACACACCACTGTGTAAGTATTTTTTATTTTGGCTCTTGTTGTTTATAATATATTTGCCTAAGTTGTTAATTGTTCTGAAAGCTGGTGTTATTCCTTTCTTTTTATGTCTGGCTATTTTTGTTGATATTTTGCCTGTATATGTAATCGAGCAGAAGGTACTGGTTTTTTTCTCTGGTGGTGGAAATATTAATTTCAGGGCTTTCTTGTGTAGTTCTTGATTTAACATTTTATTAATTGTTTGTTCGTTTTATCCATTGTTTACTGCTATTTACTTAATGATATTTAATTCTGTCTCAAAGTTGTATTTTGTCATCGGAATTTCTGTTAATCTATGTAACATACTATGATAGGCTGCCAGTTTATGTTGTATGGGATGGAATGATGAATTGTGTAGGTTTGAGTTTAGTTGAGTAGGTTTAGGAAATATGGAGAAGTCGTGTTTGTTTTTAGTCTGATAATTTTTAAATCTAAAAAAATTATGGATTGATTTTGTTCTGTTTCTACTGTAAATTCAATTTGACTAAAGTGAATTAATATACGATAAAAATTGGTTGAGCTGCCTGATAGTTCCTGTGAAACATACCAGTACGTCATCTACGTATCTCCACCAATATAAAAACTGTTTGAATATGGGATGTTTTGAAATCTTTGTCTCTAGATGATCCGTAAAAATATCTGATAGCAATGGGCATAGGGAATTGCCTATTATAAGTCCTGCACTGTTACTTGTATATATTTGATTATTAAATTCAAAGTAGTCCTGGTCTATGCAAACTTCAAGAAGATGTAAAATTTCAGATGTAATGATTGGATTTGTACTATTTTGTTCTAAAAGGTTTTTTACTAGAATAAAAGTTTCTCTAGGAGGAATACTAGGAAAAATATTTTTTACGTCAAATGAAAGAAATTAATCTGAAGTTGTTAGATAATTGAAAATGTTGTATTTTATTAACTAGTTCTATTGTATTTTTTACGGTATTGGTGGTGAACATTGAGTGTGTTCTAAAATAATCTCTAACAGTTTTTTTAAGATTTTATATGACGGAGGTGTATAAAAAGAAACTACCGGTCTTATTGGGTGATCCTGTTTGTCCCATGTAATACAGATAATGTCAATATTCCTAGTTTCCAGGTGACATATATTGAAATTCCTTAAAATAAAAAATAATGAGGTATACAAATATGAAATAAGATTTAATCATTTAGATTTAAATCAACAATCAGAAATTGAGAAACTGATTAATAAATATAAATCATTATTTGCTAAAAACAGGTATGATGTAGATACTGTAAGAGATTACGAAGCTCATACGGACTTATTGATAAATACTGCTCCAAAAGGCCATACAGATGTACCACCGAAGATAGAAAAGAGATAGAAAATCAAATAGCAGAGCTATTAAAGAAAATTTTAATTTAAAAATCATATAGTCCATTTGTTGCTCCAGTAACTCTGGTATACAAAAATAAGAAAGTATTTTAAATAGCATTATAAGAAATTCTAATATTTCAATTTTTACAGTCAATTACATTGATGACATCATTTTTTTTTTCAAAAGCTTTGATGAATATATAAAGCATTTATCGAAGTTCTTAAAAGCAATAGAAAATGAATGATTCAGAATAAAATTTTTGTTCAAGAAGTTTGTTCAAGATATTGCAATAATTTTAGTCCCACTACACAACTTATTAAAGAGAGATGTAGACTTCATCTGGTCGAACCAATGTCAAGAATCGTTCGACAAAACAAAGTAATTACATTGTTCAGAAGCAATTTTAAGAATTTTTAACCCCGATTTAACGATTGATTTATAACAGATGCCAGCATTAAAGTAGTAGAAGCTATATTGAAACAAAATGATGAAAATGGATATAGTAAGCCAGTGGTACATTTTTCAAAAAAAGTCAAAAGAAAAAAAGTAATATACCTAGAATGTTTAGCCATAAAAGTTAAAAATCCGATTCTTTAACAATTACTAAAGTAGGCAGGAATTACTTAATATTTATTTTTAGGTCATTCTGTTTAAATCGTTACAGTCAAAAAAAGTTATAAAAAATGATGTTCCTTTAACTTTGATATGTACATAATAATCCTTTAAATATTTTTGTGCTTAAAAGGTTTATTATAAGCAAAGCATTAACAGATACTTACTTCTTTGGAGAATTCTCACATAATGGCGGTATCCCTAGTAATATACAAGTTCCTGATTCTAGATTTTTAGGAGCTGACACTATAAGTGGTAGGGTACTGGCTTTCCTATTTCTGGACATGGCGACGTATGCCCTCAAAAGAAAATGCGCTAACATCAATAACACATGCTGGTGAGAAAACATGTGCCAGTTGGGGCTGCCCTACAATAGAAAATGGTATATTAAACAAAAAAAGTTTAATAACAGAGTTAAATAATCATGAATGTATTGTCTGTGTGAGTCCATTTCAAATAGGTAAAAAGAAATAAAATAAGAATTACACACAATCAATTTAATTATACTACCAACGACCGGTTTCGCATACTACAATTTGCTATGCATATTCAGGTCTTACGGTATGTACTAATTTATTTCAATTAGATTATCTTATGCCATTTTGTTGGTTTTATTTTGCCTGCTTTAGTTAATTTTATTCATATTAATAATCACAGACATCTAATATTGGCATAATTGCTGTAATTATCTGTATTAGACAGCACCCGAATGTGGGTTTTTGTAATTTCAGCATTTAATTTACCAGGTACAGTAAGACCTGAAAATGCAGAACAAATTGTAGTATGAGAAACCGGTCGTTGGTGGTATAATTAAATTGATTGTGAGTCTTTTTATTTTTATTTCTTTTTACCTATTAGAGTTAAATAAATTCTTCTATCTTTATCATAATGGCTATTTTATTCACCGTAGTTCTGAACAGGGACGATGACGACTGAACCAATCAAGTAGGTTACGAAGTCATGATGTTCTTCTTCGACCGGGAACCCTCTTTCCACATATTTTTCCCTGAATAATAAAATGGGTAACTCCATAACGTTCTGGGTGCCCCATCAGATGGGCAAAATATTCAAATTTACGTATTTTTACGGTTTCACTACTTCGGGTTGTTTTTTTTAACGTAATACCTCTTCATTTCAACCCAGCTTATACAGGTGGGTGCAATTACACCCCCTCGCAGCCCGCTGCCGGCGACCATGCTCCATACAATAATGTTGAAAATATGTAACATTTTACGAGTCTTATTTTCAGGTCATTGTTAATATTCTGTCCACCTTATACTTTTTTCATTCTGAAGAACACTGCTCTGGCCTTTTCAATTCGGATTTTTATCTCTTTGCTCATATCCCAATCGTCATTTATATTTGAACCGAGTTAAGCAATGGTCTCAGTTTTTTCTATTTCAGTACCAAATAAATTTAGTTTTTGAAGTAAGTTTTAAGTCATATTCTCGGATTCGTCAGGACTATCAATTAATAATTGTAGTTCTTCTGCAGAACTCGCAAGCAACACAGTATCAACCGCATATGTCATGTCACTGATCCTAATTCTGTTCACCGTGATACAGACATCAACTCTGGCAAGTGCCTCTTTAAGAATATGATCAACTTTGGCAAGTGCCTCTTTAAGAATATGCTCAGTATACAGATTAAAAAGTAGTAGTGACAAGATGCACCCTGTCTAACTCCACGGAAAATTTCAATTGATTAAGAAGTATCCAGGCCAATTCTGACATTTGCTTGCTGGTAATAGTAGATTTTGTGCAATTCTTAAAGATTTGTCGTCTATTCCTAATCGTCCAAGAATTTCCATCAGTTTTCCATGGCTAACTCTATCAATTGCTTTTTCAAAGCCTATAAAACACATGTATACAGGAACATTGACATCTCTACACTTCTGAACCAGCACTTACACGCTGAATAGTATCTCTCTTGTTCCAAGATTATCACACAAACCAATTTCCTTTAATTCTGACATACATTCTGGAGTGAATTATCCAAAGAGAGATTTTTAAAACGTAACTGCTAAGAATGATTTTCCTTTATTCGAAGCACTTTTTAGCATTTGCTTTTTTTGAAAGCATCACAAATATAGAGTTAAGCAAATCTGTTGGTAGACAGTTTTCAACGTTATGGCGACAAGCAACTACAATTCCTATAAGAATAACTTATCTCCAAATCTGTTCCAAATCCTAAACTGTTAGAAAAAATGCTCAGTAAACGCTTGCTATGGTATCTAGAAAGAAATAATATTCTTGACTCATTCCAAACAAGCTTCAGATCAAATCGAAGGACAATGGTTAACTTGATCACCCTACACTTTGAAATTGTTAATTCATTTTCGAATATAAACTAAGTCATAGCAGTAACTTTAGATATCCAAAGTGCCTTCGACACTGTACAAAGATGTCTAATTCTCAGAAAATTAACACAATATAATTTAACTGGATCCTTACCATTCTTATATTTTAATTTCATCTGGTATAGATATTGGAACATTCATAGAAATAATTAAAACTTATGAATGTGTTTATAATCTTGCACATGAAGATTATAAAAATGCAAAGAAGAAAGATGCAGCGTGCGAAGTAATTACGGAAACAGTGAATGCTAGTGATAAAAAAAATACAAGTTAATGTTTTTGTAAAATATCAATTTTTATTTTGGTTATAGTGGATGAGTTCCAAAAGCTTTGCATAAGCCTTATGGACCGTTTTGTCATAGAGAAAAATCAGATACATTCTGGAATGGAGGCAACAGGAAGTCAATTGGCACACTGTAACAACATGTTGATTTATTGCAATTATTCTAGGAAAAAAAAGTAATTTACACAAGAGATTTTCCGAAAATAAAAGTTCTTTTTCTTTAAGTGCGATCTGCGTGACGAAGGTTGGCAATTCTAGCTTTTGACACTACAGCCCGAAAGAGTTCAGTTGAGCTGCATCCAAACCATTCTCTGAGGTTTCTTAGCCAGGACATTCTTCTTCTACCTATGCTGCGCTTTCCTTGAATCTTTACCTGCATTATTAGTTTTAGGAATTGGTATCTGTCACCACGTGTTATATGACCCAGATATTGTAGTTTTATTATTTTGATGGAATCCAATATCTCCCTGTTGTTCTCTATTCTTCTTAGTACTTCCTCATTGGTTATTTTGTCTGTCCAGGATATTCTCAGCATTCTTCGATATGTCCATATTTCAAATGCTTCCAATTTATTGAGACATTGTTTATTTAAAGTCCATGTCTCCACACCATAGTACCAGAGAACATACGAACACAGAGAAGCGACACGAGGCCCGGAATTCGTGTATCTTTTCTGTATACGCATGACCCAAATAAGGTGCTTTACTGTCAAAAACACGTGCGTTTTCTTCAATTTTAAGTTGCTTACGATAGTCCGTAGGCATCTCTGGTAAACTCTCGACTCTACAAGTGCATTTGACCATTTATCTAATTATTTAGTAGTTAAAAGTTTATAGTTATAGTTTATAGTTATAGTTAAAATATATAAATTAAATATATAAGTGTATAGTTATAGTTTATAGTTAAAAGTTTAATTTATAAGTATTTAAAATGTCTTCTGGTTATTGTTGTGCGTTTCGCGGATGTTCATGTGTGACAGGAAAGGAATAAGTAATTTAGATTTCCTAAGAATAATAACAGGTAATTACTATTGCTTTGTAATTATTATTAGTTATTACATAATAGTATTAATTTGACTTTGAGTAAGCCGACACCGACGTGTCCGCCCGAGCTCTCGTTAAGTGAAGCAATAAAAAAATAAATTTTGGTTTGCCAAGGATAGTTCAGAATAAAAACCAGAGAACTACGAACACACATTAAATTTATTGTCTCCGAAGGCTCAGGTCAAAAAATCAACACAGATGTTGGCCTACTGGTGTGAAAGCGCTCGCAGACAACAATACGAATATAGTATTTTTAGGAAATAAAAATATATAGAGGGTTTTATACACGAGAATATTTGATTTAAACGAAACAAAGAAATTCCTAAAATGCTCAAACTAAAAATTGTTGGAAACATAATTAGATCGAAAATTGGGAAAATCTTAAAATTATAACAGAACAAGACTTCAAAATAAAAACATGATTGCAAATAAACAAACTTACATTAACATAACTTCAAATATTTGCTATCTTTTTCACCAAACAAACTTACATTAAATTATGAAAAAACTAAATGCTCATCTACTTTTTGCTATATACAAAAGTTGTCTGTCAATGTTTAATTCGTTAAATATAAATAACAAAGATCAAATATATGGATCGAAGTACACAACATATTTAGGGAATAAATATTTAAATGGGAATTACAAATAAAAAATATTAAAACTTCATTTATTGTATATCTCAATATTTAGTGACAATTTTGAGACTTCATTAGGAGAAAACTGTAAATTTATTAAGATGAGATATTGACAAAAGTTAAATACTTCATTACTTACAATACACTTAGAATATACTAATACTCTTATAGTTGTTAGTAATGAAGTATTATTTATAAATACAAAAAACTCTTTTCTACTAGTCAAACCCTTTCATTTGATACCCATATTGAAGTAGTTGTGAAAAAATAAGTAATCCTCTATTGTGTAGCGGCGTCCATCTTGGATATACAATGATACTGAATGTATGTAGTGTATGTATAGTCGATTCGCTAATCTCAGACACAACTATCTAGTATTTTAGTAATTATTTTATTGCGAAAGTTAGTTACATTTTTACAGACTAGAACTGGATGACAATTACTATATTTACAACCAAGCACATATGCCCATAGCCAATATTAAGAGTAAACAGACATAAATCTTACTCCAATCAATCATTATTTATTTACACCGTTATATAATTCCACAACAGACAACGGAAGATTTGACCAATAATTTAAAGGTAAATGCTCCAAATATACATTTTTACTTCAAGAAGTTAAAGGTTACGGAGTACCAAGCAAACTTTAAAGTTTCATATCCATTGGATTATAAAAATGAAGTTCTCAATCCCAGTATCTGGCCTGAAGGTTCAATGGTTCGTCGTTTTGACTTCAAGTATAAGAATTGTACTAACCGCAGTTAACAACAAAACCAGAAATAATTGTTACAAATCCGGCTTAGGCAAACTAGATACTACAAATAACTTTAAAGGCAATACCAATCAACTAAAAATCGTATGTATTAACTCTGAATCTATTGTAAAGAAAATAAATTGTATCCAAATATTAGTTTAAACTGAAAGTCTGGATTTACTATGTATATCCGAATCATGTGTAATGACAATAATATAAATTCGTTTTATCTTCCTAATGCTCTCTTGTAATGATTCGTAATACTTTTTTGATTATTTTTTAGGTTAT